CCCTGCCCCGCCAACACCCCCAGAGCCCCCCGTGGGGCAGGACCCTTCCCTGGTACCTGCAGGCAGGCCTGGAGCCGCGGGGCCAATCCTTCCCACAGCTGCTCCAGCTCGGCGGCGCTCGGCGGGGCGGGGGCCGTGGGAGCACGAGGCTTCTTCTTCCTCCGCACGCGTTTGTTCTGGGGGGGCGAGGACGGGGTCAGGAGGGGCTGCCTGACCCCCAGGGACCCCCGAAGAGGGGCAGCCGCATCCCACCTGCACCACCAGGTTGGCACGGCCGCGGCAGAAGCGCTCCAGCATGCGGAGGAAGAGGTGGGCCGTCTCCACCAGGTCCCGCAGGAAGCTGCGCGGCTGCTTGGTCTCGTCGAACTTGCGGAAGAGCGTGAGGAAGAGCTCCCGGTACTCCATCAGGTAGAAGATGTTGCCTGGGGAGGAAGGTGGCAGTGGGAAGGGGCGGGTCAGGGACACCCCGGGGATGGGCAGAGGGACAGAGGGACTCACTCTTGATGATGTGGCTGCTGTCCCGCACCGCCTGCTCCGGGGACCGGTCCATCTCCTGCACCGTCCGCAGCAGCTCCTGGTACGCCTTCAGGGCCAAGTGCATCCTGGGGATGGCAGTGGGGGCGGTCAGAGGTGCCCATGGGGGTCACAGGTGCCATGGGGAACCCAGGTACTTTGGGGGTCCCAGGCATTGTTGGGGTCCCAGGCACTCCAAAAGTCCCAAAAGGGGGTCCCAGGTGCCCAGGGGCTCCTGGGTTCCCAGGGTGTTCCAGGCACCAGGGAGGTCCCAGGTGACTGGGGGGTGGTCCCAGGCACCACAGGGTGTCCCAAGTGTCCAGGGGATCCCAAGTAGTTGAGGGTCCTAGATACCAAGGGGTGTCCCAGGTGCCCTGGGGTCTCGCAGGTGTCCAAGGGGGTATCCCAGCTACTGTGGGGGTCCCAGAAGGTCCCAGACACCACAGGCAGTCTCAGATACCCAAGTTGAATCCCAGGTCCTGGGAGCCCCAGACACCAAGGGGTGTCCCAGCTGCCCTGGAGGGTCCCAGGTGCTCACCTGCGGGCCCAGGTTGTTGCCTCCTTCTTGTCCATCAGTGCCATCTCATAATAGGTGGTGAGGTTCTGCTCGATGAAGTGGAAGGCTCGGACCCCCACGGTCTCGGACACCAGCTCGGGGCGGAAGCCGTGGAGCCGGTTGAAGGCCATGAAGAAGGCGGTGGCCCACAGGTAATAGGTCTCATCGTGCTGCTGAGCCTTCTCCCGCACCAGCTGGTCCTGGGGGCGACCACAAGGTCTCAGTGGGGGTCCCACAGCCTGGAGAGGGGATCCCAGCCCTCCCAGCCCCTCACCTTGACCAGCAGCATCAGGCGGTTGTAGCAGTCCTGCAGGAAGTCCTGGCAGAAGCGGCGCAGGAAGAGCCGGACGTTGCGGGCGGAGCGGCGGGAGGGCTCGGGCTCGGGGGCGG